TATCCAAGTCCTTCCTTATTCAATCTCTAAGTAAACAGCATCAGTCCATTATTTTCCACGAAGATAGTTGTATCCTGATCCCATTAGCTCGTAGGTCCTCCGCCCCCCACACTCCCAAGCTCTGAGGAACTGGGTCACTGGGGTGTCAGTGTACGTGAAGGGACTTGAACCCACTTGTTGGGAAATCCTAACCTGCTTATTTTAGATTTCTGCCCCCAGTCATTGCACCCTTCCCTTCTCCTTTCCGGTGGTCTGACTCATAAGTGGGGTTGTGCATGTGTACGCATGTGTGGGATTGCTATTTTCCCCTCTCTCCCTGCCAGTTAGCCCACTATCTTGGCCAGGTGTTTGATATATGTGTGAATGAACAGTCAGGCTCTTGAGTGTACAGACTCAAATCTTTGGGGGGGGGGAATGCTTTCTAGTTAAATAAGCAAGATGTTTCTTTAACTAGAAAGCATTTCCATCAACTAAGAACACAAAGGCATGGTAATATATATCAGAACAAGCTAGGGTTGCCAAATCTAAATCACTCACCGGTGGGGGGAGCGTCTTCTCGCTCCGGGAGCTGGCTGGGGATGTGTGCGCACACGCACACTGTCGGAACGTCACCGGAAGTGACACACAATGTAGCACGTTGGGGGCGTGGCCAAGATCGTCAGGGGGGAACCGTATGGGCCACGCCCCCAACGTGCCCTACGTCTTGCGTCACCTTTGGTGACGCAGCTTCAGGGGGCGGGGTTCCCCTGGGGCCCGATTCCGTCGCATCGGAAATCGGGCCTCCAAAGCGGGGAATTCCCCGCCCCCCGGCCCCATTTGGCAACCCTAGAACAAGCCTACAGGTGTGGTAGAAACTAGAAAATGAACCAAAAAGTAATGCAATAATGAAGTTACTGATCTCTGATTTTACCTTGCCATTTCTCCTAGATAACTGGATACAAGACAGCCGGACTTGTAAAAAAGAAAATGTTGATTGCAGACTTCACTCAGTTTCCTGTCAGTTCCAGGCTCCTAGGCTTGTGCAGCTTACTTAGGGTGACCTGAATCTTTTAACTTTAGGGTTTCAGTTTGAACTTTCCTGTAATGGGATCTGAGTCCCTCCATTCCCACCAAGCACGCATCTAACCAATGAGATTACATTGTGCCCACTGGTTTCAGGACACCAGGTGAGGATATTGCCTCTTTCTGGCAGTGCAGCAAATGGTCCTCCTCATCAATAATCATAGAGGTTTAGAGAAGGTTACTTCCCTTCCTGCATGTAACAAGATGATTTTATGGCCTGGTTATGTTATTCAGGGCATCCTACCTTCTCTATCTTAACAAGTCGTACCTTGAAAGAACAGATTGATTCCAAAAACGGAAGCATCAGGTACAAAACCCACTGTTTCAATGCACAGTGAGACCATGTATTATGCATCTCCTTCTCTCTTAAATGTTTAAAAGCAGGTAAAGAGGGAATAACAAAAAAACAACAACAGCGTTCCGTGCACCTTGGTGTTTAGTCATGCCGGCCACATGACCACAGAAACATCTTCGGACAGCGCTGGCTCTTCTGCTTTGAAACGGAGATGAGCACTGCACCCCTAGAGTCGGACTCGACTGGTTTTCGAGCAAGGGAATCTTTACCTTTACCTTTTAAAGAGGGAATATGGTGAGCATGGTAGCTGGTCCAGTATCTTTCCCTCAAAGATTTTTGGAACCAGCTCTTTCAAATATCAAGAAAAGTTTTAGCTCCTTGTTTTTAGAAAGCAAATAACTCAAACAAAGAATGAAGGATTTTGATAGCAATGGTGCAGTGAAGACTCCATTTGCCTTGATGCTGATGTCCAAAGGTGACTCACTCTTATATGAGGTTGACCATCATGTCTGATAGGAGGAACTTTAAGTTGTGTTGTAGATATTTTTGTAACAGAAGTTTTGTTCCCTTCCCCCCAGCTTATGCAGCAAACATTGTTCGGAGTGAATAATAAGTCACCTGCATGAGACCTGAGGGTCTCAAGTTAGTTGATAACTGTGATCAGTCTCTGGGGACATTAAATACCTCCACATGCTGTGCATTCACTGTGTGGTCTTAGCCTAAAAAGTTAGCATCTGTAGCAACAATGTCTAGAATGTGCTCAATCAGTTGGAGCAAGAGCAGGTGAATGTGCAGGTGGAAATATCCCCTCCAGGGACAAAAAGCAACACAGGAAAAGTACTCTAATCTATAACCCAACAATTTACTTAAATTTATTACATCACAATAGGACAATCTAGTAAAATACACAGAATTCATATCAGTCCACATTGCCAATGTACAATTTTTATATGGTTAGCAATCTTTCTTTATATTAACTTTCAAAAGTAAGCTACTGCATTCCATTTACAGTAGCTGAAATGCACTGTCATTTAAGAAGATTAGAGAGATCTAATTAACACTTTTAAAACTAACTTCATAGACCTTTTGGCACTTTAAAAAACAAAACTGAAGAACCAGATTCCATATCACATCAGCTGATACACAGCAAAGCATACACTGTCCAATGGCAGAAAAAAAATAAAGTGGCTTTTCTTCTAGATCACAGCATAGTCCCAAGTATGTAGCAATAGAACAGGGCCAGCCTTTCTCTACTGTGGCTAGTTATCATTCAACTATTCAGTTTGGCAATGCCCTTGGAATTATTTTGCAGAATGCTGGTGTGTATTTTTTCATATCTAGTAAGTGGTTGAATTAAAAGACCCAATGGCCAAAGTGATGCTGTACCTCCTTTCTTGCCTATTTTAATAGTTTTCTTGTTTTCTCCTTAGCAGCACAGAGCATGCAGAACAGCCACCTTGCAAAACCAAGGAACTGATATTTTAGTAGCATTTCAGTTCTGTGATCTGCCTATTCCAGATGGGTTTCCATTCTCTGCAACAGAGGCAACAGCTTATTGGGTAACCAAAAGGGAATGAATCATTAGGAGAAGGATGTTTGTGCCAAAGTCATGTTTACACAAGAGAGTGGTGTTGCATCTGCTTTTGCAGACTTTGGGTCTGTGCAGATTGTGGTATATTTCTACATTATAAATTCCAGCTGCTTCTAGCGTCACATATTATGCTAAAAATAATACAAACTCTTCACAGCAGATCCCCCCCCCCGTACTGGCTCCTGAACTATTATTTCAATCAGTCTTTTGGCAAAGTAACCAGTGATTGTTTTATGTTACACTGATTGCAGGCTCCACGTACTACTATTTGTGCTGAAAGGCGACTATTGTATCAGTCATTTCCCTCCTGCCTGAAATTATCCTGAGAATCCATAAGGAAATCTGAACAAACTATTGTGGCTTTCATAAGGCTGTAATTACGATAAAGACTCCTAAGCACTTTCAGGCTTCTGGAATCTGAAAAAGGGCAAAATGCTTTATGACATGGTCAAAGCTGTTCTTTTCAGAGAGGCTGTGTTATTCCTAGACGCTTGCTTTAAAAAGAGCAAACCTGCTCTGGAAGAATATGCATGTCTCCTGCTGGGAAGGACCTATTGCAAGCCCATAGGATTTTACCAGCCTCTCAGGATCAGATTGAGATTCAGAGAACTTGTTCTCTCTTAGGCACTGCTGAGAATTCTACCTTCTCTAATGAATGGCTCTTATATGCTGCTGCTGTCACCTGCATGCAAGAATGGAAAAGAGAAAAAGGACTTCAGAAAGCAAGCCAGGAAGATTTGGTGGATGTACAGACCATCAAAGGCATTTATGGAGGCTCACCAATACAAACTTCCTATGAGTAATGCTCTGTTAAATTCTTACTCCCCGTGCTCCTGTCTGAAGAAAGATCTACCCATTAGGCCCTACCCCATGTGAAAACTGCAATACACAGCCTCTGCATTATGGCTGTTCCATGTGGCACATTGAGTAGCTTAGCATGTGGACCATGCTTACCATATGGAGACTTCCTGTCGGCATTACTTTTTAGTTCTAGTTCACCGCATGCTGGGGCCTGCTGAGAGGAGCACTAGATTTATTTAAAGGGGACTGTGACAATTTTAAAAGTGATTGTCATACTGTAGTAACGCAGTGTTTCAGTGCATCCTTGGCATAGCTGCTTTGCAAAGTATAGTCCAGTACTCTAATCATTGTACCACACTGGTTGATTACTACAGGGATGATTCAGTCTATCCTCAGCATGCAGATCTGTGTGGTATTACTCTACACCTGAAATAAGAGAAGGTAGAAGGGGAAGAGAATTGGGACGAAGTGCTATACCTGGAGCAACATGCATGGGTGGAAGAGAAAAGCACACGCTGGTTATGTGGATTGTTCCTTGTGTTATTAGCCAGGTATTACACAGTACTTACTCTCCATCTGTTAATGTAAAAAAGGAACTTCATAAACAAAACATTTCTCATGTTCATTTTTTCAAGAGTATCTGTGCCAGGGAGCCAATACAACTGATGATTAACACAACACAACATACAAGGCAAGAGGTATTACCACCACTGCATTAACATGTGCATAAGGGAATCTGTGCATAAGGCCCAAGCTATTGCAGTGTCACGATGTGCTTTTTCGGCAATAGTGTCAAGTTGACCCAGAACACTAACAAACACAACTAGCAATTATGTTGTCATCAACTGAAAGAGATATTAACTCAGCACATTCAGACAGGAAAGATGTCTGAGAGCTGTAGAACTCTTATGTGCATCTATCCAGAATTTTAAAGACATATACTACTATTTCTGTGGCAAATCCTTTGAATTACCTTCACATCTGGTCATCGTGCAAAGCTTATCAACTATACTCTGTTTTTTAATCCCTGTGTTTAGATTTGGAATAATTTTTCCAATTTTTTTTTCAACTGTAAAAAAAATCCATAGTAAAAATAACTCACTGTATGATACATATACCCAAAACAGTCAGATACTTTATATAATAAAAGATGAAAATAGTCACTTTTCATAATAAAAATAACTTCTATTTTTTGTGTATTTTACAATATACTTAATATTCTCTTCTTCAATTAAAAGTAAATAGGTCCCACTTTTGATAGCACATCTGAGTCGATACAAGGGGCAAAGAGGCTGAACAGCTGTTTATAAACACTTCCCACAGCCACATTCCACATGCCTCTCCAGCTCTTCTGTGAAGGAGGAGCCATCCACACACTGGAAGATATATTTCCGCCTTTTGCTCCGGATGGGAACACAGCATTGATCATTTCCACAGCTGCCGTGACATTCCATGTGCTGTACCTTGACAGTAGACACACAAGAGATGGAATTTTGTTGCTTCCTAATCAATTCACGAACAATCTCTCCTTGGCACTGATTCTCTGTTAGGAAACAGACAAGATTATGAGAAAGCTGATAATTCACTTGGCACAATCCCAAACATCAAGAACATGAATTAAGCCTTATGCACTCTGGTTGACTGCATGTTGGTCTACCTAGCAGACATAGATCAACCCATGTTTTAGAAAGACTTGTTTGGTTTAAAGGAATCAACTGTACATCGAACATGTGTGTGTAGTTGCACTTCTGGGACTGATCCAAGTAGTTACTTGGGACAGAAGGATGGTAGGAGGTCTATGCTGCTCTCTGTAGGTGTAAAGCTGCTGAGAGTCTTCCTGTTTATTTCCTGGTTACAGTAAATTATCTTCTTCATTAGAATGTCTAGTGAGTTATAAAACACTGAGAAAGAGACCTTGCTGATCAACTCAGCTCTGAATAATTATCTTAGAATACCTCTCTTAGCAAGAAAATGTGATTCTTTCACGTTAATAAGGTTTGCTGTAAAAATAGTGACTACAAAGTCATATTAAAGGGATTAATCCAATCCAAAATTTGAAGAAAAGTGGATTCAACAGATATTTATTTACTGCCTTCAACTATGTGTCTCAGCAATGCCCTTTGGCACAGTAGGTTTTATTCATTTACTTAATTTGTATTCTGGTTTTCTTGCTAAGACTCAAGACGGATTAAACGATAAAGTGCAATGAAAATTGTCCTTTGTATATGAACCAAAAGGTCATAGTAAAACACACACCATACATACACCTTGCAGTTATACCAACCTCTATCACAGCGTTCGCCACTGTAATTCACATCACACTCACAGTAGGGCTCCCCATGTGCTGAGATCTTACACTGCCCATGGCTGCATTTCAGAAGTCTGCAGGGGCTGGAGGAATTATTCTTCCTGTCGCAGTACATGCCCATAAAACCTTCTATGCACTTACACGAGTAACCAGAACTGGTGGCTGTGCATTTCCCATGGAGGCACCTTGGAGGCAAAAAGAAATAGATAATCGGTGTACCTAAGACTGTATGAAGAGGTAACAGAAATGTCAACATTCCCAAATACAAGTTTTTTTTTCTTTTAGATTCATTGGCACTCAATTATATCTCCAGTTTTTGAAAAATATTATGCGTTTCATGGTAAGGTCACAACAGAACCTCTCTCTTAATGACAGTTTTTATGAATCCCACTTTATAGAGCTACCTGAGTATACATATAAGGAATAACCTAACATTTGGCTCATCTCACTGAGAATATGCATTGGTTGGCATTTTTTTTGCTGTCATGTCACAGTTGATTTATGGTGACCCATGGTGGGGTTTTAAAGGCAAGAGATGTTCAGAGGTCGTTTGTCATTGCCAGACTCTGTGTTGTGATTAGGAGTGTGCATTCAGACCTACCCAAGCCTTTATCAGTATATTTCGGCTTCCTAAATGAATCTGGGTTTCCTTGGGAAAACAACAACAGAAGATCCCGAGAAAATCCCACATATATTTGGAAATTTGGGGTAGATCTGAAAACAGCAAAATGGCAGGAACAGATTGCTCCCACCTCCCAGCTGTTTGTTGGGCAGGCTTAAAATTTAAAGGGACTGCAAAAGTCAGCCCAAGGATCAGCTGGGGTGGTGGGGAGCTGAGAGCTCCCCACTGGTTTAAACTGGGCTGCAAGAGAAGCTAGCCCAAGATCAGCTCGGTTGGTTTAAACCAGGTGGCAGGAGAAAGCAGCCCAGCCATGATCGGCTGTTCCCATGGGGAGCCGATTCCTCCCTGTCAGCACAGCTCTGCACTGCCTTCTCCTGCCGCCTGGTATTTGAATCTGAGATTTTTCAGGAACCATTTTTTTCCCGGGTCCAATAGACCCAAACTGGAAAATACTGGTAAATTTTTTTTGCACACTCCATAGTCATGGCCCTGGTATTCTTTAGTGGTCTCCCATCCAAATACTGATCAAGACCGACCCTGCTTAACTTCCGAGATCTGATGAGATGAGACTGGCCTGGGCTATCCAGGTGAGGGCATTCACAGGTATCCCTAATTTTATCAGCATGCTCATTCACTTAATAGGCCCTCTCTCACCTCTGCCTTGTTCCCCACTCAAACAGAGTGAAGCTTACTTGTTATTGAGGCAGGGATCTTTAACTTCATGGTCACAAAGGGAGCCTGTCCAACCTGGGTGGCACTCGCACACAACACTTGTTTTTTCAATAGAGCGACAGATGCCATGCTTGCAGATATTACAGGATTTGCAGCCAGGAAGGACCCCTACTGACTGATGTGGTAGATCCTTGAAATCCTGCAGCTCATTATTAATGCGGACATCATGAATGCAACCATGGAAACCACTGGGTGTCCTCTCTGTACCTTGCCGCAATGAAGACAGTCCTGTGGATGTAGGAATACCTGCAAAGAAAGAACAGAAGCACTTCAGAAGCTGTTCAGGTCTTTTTTGGTATTCCAAGATCGCAAAATAATATAATGGTATGGTAAAATAAAAATTAAGCAAACATGTGGTAGTAGCTCACAGTATATTAGGAGTTGCTCTGCTTCCCCTCCTTCCCATGCCATAACATTGTTACATATCTCTTTACATAGTTGATCATATATAAATCATGACATATAGAGAATACTGCAAAGCACATGCCTAGACTGATTTCCAAGCACACCAAAATGTCAAGGTGTGTAATTTAAAAACAAACACAAATTAAGATCACAGTGAATTGCATAATAAATATCATAAGAGATGGGTTCCAAACCCAGCTCAGCCATGGAATTGACTGGTTCCCCTTAGGAAGGCAACATCTTTCATCCTAAATTATTTCACGGGATATACATTTGGGATTTATTGTAGCCTTTCATGGGCATCAAACAATACAAAAATATGTATAGACTGAGAAACTCGGGGGAAGGGGGGGGTTTAAATGCCTTTCTTTCCCTTCCCCAGATGGAAGGCATTCTACACATGCCTGGGTTCCCTGCCCGATCTTCCCTAGGTGCCCCACAGCCGCAGGACATCAGGAGAAAATCAGGCAGGGAACACAGGCATGTCTGCCTCCCTGCCCTCCCCTCCTGTTCTCCAGCCCACCCGCCACGGTGGGCTGGCTGGAGAAGCGAAGGGGAGGCGGGCAGACATGCCCCCCTTTCCCCTGAGCCTCTCCACTTTTGCAGACAAACTCGGGGGAAAGAGGGGTTTAAATGCCTTTCTTTCCTCTCCCCAGATGGGGAAGGGAGAGAAAGGCATTTTAAACATGCCTGGGTTCCCTGCCCTATCTTCTCCAAGTGCCCTGCAACTGCGGGGCATATGCAAATGAGTTATGCAAATGAGCTCCTGCACCTCTTTTTCTAGGAAATGATCCCTGACTATAAGCAATTGTTATCAGATGATTATGAGCAATGATTATCAAAAGAAATTCATAATGCTGACATGCCCTTAAAAGGTGGAAAATAACTAATGCACATCTGTTTCCTTTCTAAAGTGCACAAAAGTTAGTATCTCAAAAAATTTTTTTGGGATGGAATAGATATTTGCAGTAGTGATGGGTAGCTCAACTTACCTCCAATGTACAGAGGTGTGTCGTGGTCAACCACGGGCTGTTTCTGTAGTTTGCCAAGGCTCTTGGGAGTACCTTTATCTACAACCAAGTTCAAAGTCTGGTTCAACATTACCAACTCCACACTGTGAAACTGGCCATCATTTACTGTTTCCACACTAGCATGTAAAGCAAAAAGAAAAGGAAATTAAGAGAGAATAAACTTAGACACAGTATTTAAGAATCCTGAGCCCATGTGGAAGGGTGGGATATAAATCTAATAAATAAATAAATAAATAAATAAATAAAATTGTTTAAAATGTTCCCCCATAAGGTTTAATTGAGCTGTAGTTCCAGAGAGGGGCCTGCAGGGGTATCACTCACTGGGTTGAATGGGGATTCCTCATCTGCTGGCCTACAGTTCCCAGCTGTCCCAAGGCCAAAAAGTGTGGGAAAACAGGAACTGTCCAAAGGCAGTCTTCATCCCTGGGGGCAACAGAAATTCAGACACTCCACAGTCGGCTGGACTGGGGAATGAATAGAAGTTTCCATACCCACAACCTCCAGAGGTAGAGAGTACTGTGTGTAGGGAAAGAGGATTGCATTTCACCACTGTTGATCTAC